TATTTTGTGTTCCAAGTTATTTTTCTAAAGTGTTAGAAATATACACAAAATATTATAAAGAAATATTTATAAGATAAATATTGTTACTATATATTTATTACTCCCAAGGTAGTATTATTATAGTTTTACTATCCTATATTAAACTTGCTAGCACAAGTTTAATCTAGGACTCCGGAGCAAGTTCGTGTGGATACGTTGGAGGCTTCATACGTTTGGCGCTACGTTCATCTCCTCAAAACCATCCCCGACCGTTTCTCCGTTCTCCGTTTTTCACCACTAAGGTAAATTTCTTACTATAGCTAGTAATTTACGTAAGTTGTTCTTGGGTGGAATCGAGATTTGGATTCTAAATTTTTGTTTTCCGCTGCGTTATCCAAGTCTCGTTTCCCAACAGTGGTATCAGAGCCGGCTTACGAAGTTACTAGTCTAGTAGTTTTTACCGTTATCGTTTTTGTAGATTAGTCAATAAATTTTGGAGACAAAAATTTATCCCATTATAAAATTTAATTAGGTGGCCATATTTAGATACTGGACCTAATATAATTTTATTTAGTAATTTTCGGAATTACTGTTTGGGGTAGTTTTATATTATTCTTATTAAGTAGTTTATGTGTAGAATACTTGTTATTTGTGCCATAAACACTTAATATTTATGAAAATTAGATTTTATATTTTCTGGGATGTATTTGACATGTCAATATAACTCAGAAATTTTAAAATCGATTTTTGGAATTAATTTCCTATTTTTCTATTTTTAAATTCGTTTATTGAATAGAAAATAGGAAAATTATTTTTGACAATGAAAAATTAATTTTAATTCAAAATAGGTTTCGAAAAGATATCTTAAGCTTGTATAAAAACTTTCATAATTTTTAAGCACGTAAAAGTATTTATTTTGTATTTTTTAAGCAATTGGATCGGTACTATTCACTAGTCCGATTTTTAATTATTTAAAATTGAAAAATTAATATTTTAAATTCTGGAAAAATCATATTCTGGTTCTGGAACTTATTTTTGACTTTAAAAATAAATTATTAGAATTTTGGAATTTCGAAATATATTTTCACAATATAATTTCGGTTTTCTAGCTTTGAAAAATGGCTTTCAAAATTTTAAATTTTATTCATTCTGGAAATTTAGGATTTCCAGATTAATAAAGTTTACTGGGAGTCTCCAATAATTATTTTCTAATTTAGAAAACATATATGTATTTAATTCGAAATAAAATCCCTTTTTCGAATTTAAATATATATATACGGTAAATATAAAATATTTTATTTTCTGGAATTTAGAAAATTAAATTTCTAACATTCTGGAAATTTAAAGTATTTATGATTTTTAATTAAATTACTTGCTAGTTTAATTAATTTATTGTTGATAGTTTATTCCGTAGAATAGAATAAACTAGGTCTGGGGTGAGCGCGGTTCGCCCGGTGTATGCTTTAATATGTATGATGTGATGCATGTGATGCTTGTATGTATTATTGCATGGTGGATGATTGTGGCTTAGTTATATTTGTTATAATTTTAAATACGGCCTGCGTGTAGTGCCTCATCTCTATACTCTGGATGTAATTCTCTTCTTTACCTCAATATTCTTTTTTCTCGAAAATTATAAGAAGAAAAGAAGACGAAGTCCGTTCGTGATGGAGAATCCTAAGGAAGACGTGATGGGCCGGAGATAGAGATCTCTTGATCAAGGCGCTGTCGTTTGTTTTTCTTTAGGAGCCATAATCATTTCACGTTTACTTATTATGCATGTGATGTATGATTGAATGTATGCATGTATGTGATTTTCGCTAGTGCATGCGCGCGGTGTATGCCATAGGCAAGACTGCGTAATAAATCCCTCATAATTTTAAGTCTGTGCCACCCCGACGCCCCGTCACTCGTCAAACCCAATTTAGATCGGTAACGGACTCACCCAAGTGAGACGCCCGGTTTACGTTGGTTAGGCGCGAAACCCGTAACTAGGGTACTGACTCGCCCCGGGTTAGTCTTAACTAAGTCTTGGTCATATGGATGAGAGACTTAGGGCACTGCGGTAGGATCAATAAATAAAATCAGATCATCCAACCAGAGTTGTAACTTGTTACAATTGGAATTTATTCCTACCAGAAATAATTTAACTGTAGGGCAAGATGCAAAGCACAACTATAGTTAAATGAAATATGGATCTGGCCCAATTAAGAATTTTATTTAAAAGAATCCACCGAACCAAGAGTTGTAATAACGATT